CGTGATGGGCCATGAGACATTTTCCTCCCTCTTTGTAAAAAGGCAAGTGTTATCAGCAGTGATCAAAACCAACAGCTAGGGTAATATCTTCTATCATATTAATCTTCCTTTTCCCAAATCACCCACATCCTAGAACAGTTCTCCAAATTATACCCTCCTGGAAAGCCACACAATGACTTTTTTCTTTCAGAAGCAACCCTAAAAAGAACCTGTCCAGCAACACAAGTCGCAGTCATATCCATCAGGGCATTACCAGAGTGCCTGTGGTGGGGTTCAAGCTGTAGGACGAATTCTGGAATTTGGTGTTTGTCTTCGTGTCTGGTGATAAAGGTTCGCTGTTGCGATACCAGCTGTAAGTAGACTTTGGGTAACCCTCGTTCTCGTGGCAGTGGAGGGAGGCTGTCTTACCAACGGGTACAGCTTTAGGCACTACGCATCTGGGAGTCACAGGCTTCACTGCAGGAAGACACAAACCATGTGAATGTTACTGCTGAGTAAAACTAAATAATTTCTGACATAATTTCTAAGATGGCTGGGCTACAGAGACATCAAAACTTTCAGCTATTTCCAGACAGTTTTAAGCAACAAGTTCCAAAGTCTGTTGAATGACACTTTTTCAACTCTGGAAAGACTCACGGCTTCTGTTAGCTAGCAGCACTTGTCAAAGTATCTGGATGTGCAGCAATACCTTGGACTGTGAGCTGGATATTTATTTCATCTATGGTTTTGGTATCAGAAGGTGCTGCCACTTCACAGCGGTACGTGGCAGTGTCCATCCGGGTGGTGTTTTTAATCACCAGTGATGTCCGGCTCAGAATTTCCGCACGAGTTGCAAAGTCTCCTGATACAGACGAAAGAGAGAGATAAAATTCAAGATAGTCACACAAACTAACTTCAGGCATCTGAGTGAAGTGGTTGGTCTCGGACTCTTTCTAGAGTCCAGAGAACCACTTGAAAGGAACTTGATGCTCTAAAGTTAAGAGCCTTCCTCTCTGCAGTGCCCACAAAGGAGAACTGCTGCTAACCATGTAAGAGGATGAACTAGCACGCACCACCCCAAATCTCCAAAACTGTGGCAAAATTGGATTTTGAGTCAGCCTCAGGCCTTGTCTCCCTTGGGAGATTCACTCGGCTATGGCTCTTGGTCCCATTTAAAGTGGCTGTGATCTTGGAATAATTCCTGGTGGGATTCAAGCCTTACCAGCAGTCCCATGTGTTTGAGTTTCACTGCCTGTTCCTAATCGCATGCTCCCAGGATGCTGCAAGGCACCCTGCGACCTCAGCAGTAAGCACTGGCAGCTCAGCACAAACTCCTTGGGAAGCCCAGGTGGAGCTCTCAGATTTCAGAGGACAGACAGACGAGGTCGGTGTCCGGTCCTGAGAGCCCAGGCACCCAGTGACCACGCAAGGACCAGGACCACCAGGTGCTGGAGAAAGGAAGCTGCAGCATTTGCTTTCTTAATCATTTCCTACCTAGGAGCTCACTCCAGCTCTCTGGCTCGGTACTGAAAACTGTCAATAATGACCTGCCAGAGGGCAAATAACATCCTGCTCTTTCTCTCCACCTTGTACTTCTACTGCTGAACTCTAGTTCCAGAAGAAAGCAGCAAGGCAGCCTTTTCCTGAGTTGTTTGTTCTCAGTTGTACTGAGGCTGGTTTTGTACTGAGGCTGGTTTTGGAAGCCTAAGAGAACAATGCATCGTCATACCCTGCATTTTATTGTCAAAAAATACGTAAGAGGTTTCGCCATTTCGGATTTTCTTCCACTCGATTCTGGGATCTGCCGTTACGGTGGATTTAATGATGCAGGACAGCTCAACACCTAGAAAGAGAAATAAAGGAAATAATACAGATTAATAGGAAGCAGCTGTATTTTTGCTCTGCTTTAAGCAGCCTCACACTCTGTTTTATTAGGAGACGCTGCCCACAAAGCAAAAGCCTTCTCTTTCATGTGCCTCACAAACAGAAACACCGCTGGGTTCCAGGAGCTATTGGGGAAGATGGATTTTGGCCAGCAAAAATAATAGCTGTACAGATATCAGCTATGGAGAGAAACGAACACACTGTTCTCTTCGGGCTCTGATGTATGGCAAACAAGACCTTATGACAGGGTGAGTCCATGGCGCTGTCTTGCTGTTAATCAGAGCATACAGCGTGAGTCAGGACTGCAGAATCTCCTTGGGTGGTGTCTGGTGATGTACCGACAACACGCTGTCCTCCCAAGTGACCTGGGGACCATGATGCCTGTGGATAAATCCTGCACATCCAGCCCCTTCTGAGGGAGGCATCATCATCTCCATCTCTACACAAGAAGGCAGCACAGCAGGGTTGGTGCTGGCTCACCCAGGATCACGTTGCAGGCTGTATTAGGGCCAAGGTAAAATAGACATTTCCCGAAGCCCTTTTCAGTGTATTAATTGCAAAGCGGCTGCCTTCCCTCCATTTGGGATCCAGTTCAAAAAAGCACTTAGGCAGATACTTTGCAATGCCAATGGCTTTCAGGGGACTTCAACAAACCCTTCCAATCAAGCGTGTTGAAAACAGAGAGCGAGACAGACATGTTCTTAAGCCCTTTGCTGAATCTCAAGCTCTCAGCAGTTCTGCCTTGCCCAAGAAACCCAGATAACCATGAGCACCAAGCAAAGGTTTTCTCAATTGTTTGGACTGATACAAAGCTCCAGGCAGAGGGCAGTGCAGCAGTGGTGTCAGGCAGCCAGCGGGCCCCCACGGCACTCACTCTGAAATTCCTGCACCACGGGCTTGGTGTTGCTGGATGTCAGCTCCACGGCCAAGAGTCTGCAGCCTGCAAAAACAAACAGAAGGTAATAAGAAATAGCACAGCTCATAAGTCACCCAGCTAGAAACACGCTGCCTGCTGAGCCAACTTCTCAAGACAGCTAGGAGGACTCACTTCTCTACATAAAAGCTATTCCTGGCTACCAATGCCAGTCCTGAAGGCCTACGTTTATTTAGGAGTCCTGGAGTAAATATAGGAAATTATGATTGTTAGAAGCAGCACTTAAAAGGGGAAGATTACCAAAATGGCACAAAATCAATGTTACAGCATAAGACATCTCTTCGTGCCTTATGCTTATTTCGATGGTAGTTATTCTCATTCTGGTAATGCAAGAGCGAACGTGTCCTTCTGCAAATTAATTCGATAACGAGGAAGAGACAGAAGTAGGGCAGTCTTAATGGGTTTTGGTCAATTCCTTGAAGATGTAATGTGCCAGGTCTCTAGCACATGCTGACTGTATGTTCAAGTATTTTAAGACTCAGTGTGGTAATGTAAATTCAAGGTAGTAAATCATGCAAGGACAGCAATTCAGGAGAAAACAGAGGAGCTCGGTGCTTTGGGTAGAGTCCCAGCCAGACTCACGTTGGGAAAAAACGCTCAGTCACGCAACGTTGCATCCTTATACCACAAGCTATTTCCCTTTACTGTCCTTGCTCTGAACTCCAACATGTTTCCAATCTATACAGTCATTTTCCCCCTTTTGCATATTATTTTCTTTTGAAAAATCTGCCTTTTGTGTCCCTTCTGCTGTTCATTTCACCAGAGCAGGTACCAACAACGTTCCTGTCCTGCGGGATACCCACACTCACCAACAGACCTCCTGAGGCAGAGGGACACAAGCAGGCAGTTTCTGGCATGGCACAGGAGGAAGAAAGCGAACCAGAGAGCAGAGGCAAGCCATGCCTTCATCCCAGAGGGTATTTTGGAACTGGGTGTCCTGATTCTTGCAAAGCTCATCACCTCTCAGACTCTGCAAAACAGTGGCTGCTCCAAAGCCCTGTCTTACAGACGGTTATACACACTATAATCAGGGCTGGATAATCAGCTCTAGCAGTATGCCATGACCCCACATGCAGCTTTGCTATTACAAACCCAATCAGAAGATTGCTGAAATCTAGAATAGGATACGCACCGACTTCACTGGGCATTCGATCAACCAGCAAAGTAAAGACGACGGAAGCCAGTGCCTCAATGACATGAAAGCAGATGTATCTAAAGGTTAGGGCTGTCTCTCAGAGTAAAAAAGTCATAACAAACCTGAATTGAAAGCAGAAAAGGCAGCTGAAAGAAGATGCAGAGGAAAAGAAAAGATCTTCAGCATCATGACAGACAGCTGGAATTCCTGCGTGCTGGCCTCCAGGGTGGAAAGCTTTTCGACAAAGAGAATATCTGACAACTGTGGGGGCAAAACTCCTCCGGTGGAATGGATCAGACAAAACAGAGCAAGGCAGCACTCCGAGAAATGCCCAAGAGCTGCAGAGTTGCTCCGACTGAAAGCTCCGGGGCCTTGAACACCTGAAATCCTTTCAGCATTTCTGAAATGTTCCCTGTCAATTCCTATCATCCACTGCTTGTTAGCTGCTGATGCTTTTCTCAGTGCCTTGGTTCTCAGCTCTTATACCCCAAATACCACTGGGGAGAGCTGGAGTTTGGCAAGGTTTAGAAGCTGCCTTTGTGTCCAAAATAATGGTTATTCATATAAAAACCACTGGGTGATGCAAAGTAATAGCTGGCCCAGCAGCACTGCTCTTAGCAGGACCTCTCCACCCTTCCCCCTTCTGCATTTGGAGACATTCACGCCGCATTTGGGAGAAATCCAACATCGAACAAGATGACAGTGCTCATGACTATAATGTGCCTGCCTGGGAAAAGTCTTATGCATCAGAGCTGAAATGAGTAACAGGGCAGTGCAGTGAGCATTTTGCTTGCAGTCTGCTGCTGCTTTACTTAGGTGAGTCAGGAGAACGCCACTTTCAGAGCTGACTCGTCGCAGCTTGGAGCAGATGCTCCACTTTGGGTTCGTTTCTATCAGAAGTGGTCTAAGCAACCACAAGTAATTTGCTGAAGTCTGCTAAGTGAAGCAGAGCCCACTTCTATCAGGCCTTCTGCTTCCAGACTTGGAAAGACCCTTTTGAAATCTTTGGACACATTTTCGGCTGTAGGGCCCTTCATACAAACAAGTCTTTTGATTCCTTCTGCAGTGAGATTTCTGCTTTGGGAACCAACAGGTCTTACCTTGAGGACCCAGCCCTGATCACTCAGCCTAATTGTGGAGCTCCTGCTTTGCTGCCTGCTTGGGGCAGGTGGCCCTGGTTTTCAAAATGGGGCAAGCTGTAGGTGGTGCCAGCTTCAGGGACCGCACCCTGCTTCATCAGGAGCAGTTCTTCAAATGATAGCTTTCTCCTGGGACCTGGTGTAGCAGGTGGCTATGGAGAGCTGTGATGCACCTGAAGACCTGTAGAAGACAGCTTGCACGCCATCTATCTGGTCTGTACTATCTTAGAAATCTTCCTTTTGGTAAGGAAGGATGGGGAGGGAGAGGGACTTGGCAAAGGCTCCTTGTTCCTTAAAGGCAACTGGATACTCCAATTTGTTTTCCTGTTGTATGTTCTCGTTTACAAGAGATCCTTTTCCCCCCTCCCAAAAGAAGTGTCCCATCAAGTAGATAGCATGGTAACAGTCTGACTGAAGAACTGATCTTTAAAGGTCCCTTCCAACCAAACTGTTCTGTTCTCCTACAGCTACAGCACAGGTTGAAGGTAGAGACACATTACCACGATGATGTGTTATCCTCAAGGAGTTATGACTCGACAAGTATTTGTTCCAGGACAGTAGGGCTCCATCATGCTCTGGCCCCATAGCATTTCTCAGAAATTATTCACAGCATGATCTTTCCCACCCATTAAACACAAGAGATTTAGGTCAATCCCTCAGGCACAAAGCAGGATGACAACAAATTTTAGACAGAAGCTGAGTCCTTGGAGACCGTGCAAGAGGTTCTCACATTATTACAAGTATTGACTGTGGGCAGAGATCAATGTGGCTGCTTAAATCACTGCTAAGCCAGATTTATTCTTCTGTGTGTGGCACAAGAAGGCTTCAAGTAGCATGCTCTGAATAACGACAAGGCTACAACTGTGCAGGGAGCAAACCAAACCTCCCAAGTGACCACATAGACTGTAAAGAAGTTGCAGAGCACCTTTGCAGCTCTTCTTAGCATTGCTTTGTGCTCTCTCTCTTTCAAAGTCTCTCCAGGGCTGGAGGAATCTGCACAAGGCCGGTGCTTCCCAGCTGTTAGCACTCCCCTGGTGGCGCAGGGTGGGCATCTGTGCTATGTCACACTGCCCTGCTGCTGGCAAGTGTTCCCTTTGGTCACCGCACTTGTGCATGGCTTGGTTTTGCGTGCCAAATCATCGTTATTAGCGACAACCATCACCTCCAGAAAGTTTCTTCCAAAGCTTCTCCTTTAGGCCTTTTTCAGCCCAGCGCAAATAATCGGCGAAGGTTTTGTGTTATTTAAATTTCTCTTCAAAGGCCTCGGCACCCAGGATGTGTGGAAGGGCTGCGCACAGACCCGCATTCCTTTCCAGAGCAGCATGCATGCCACAACAGACGCACCTACCAGATCTGTATGTACTAAATCTCTGAATACCTACCAGATCTGTATGTACTACAGGCTCAGCCAGACATATGGTTGAATCCCAAATGCCATCAGTTCTCCGAAATAGAATCCAGGACACGGCACTGAAGTCTATAGCATATTCTTATGGCACTTCTTTTAGCTGAAGAGATCCAGCCCATACTTGTTACTGTGACTCATGGTATCTGAATCACTTTAAAATGTTGCGCTGAACCTACAGAAGAAATAAACTAGCAGCTTTATAGACATCTAGACTGTGCTAAGTCTCCTATCTCTGTACGGGGTTGAATGCACAGCCTGACCTTTTGTCTCCTTCCATCCAAATCTCTTAAATCTGTTTAAAAATTCTAGGCAGAAGTTTGAAGAGGAGGTAAACTATTTTTTTTTTTACGTGTTGTAAGCAACGTAAAAAGGATGACCAGGACAAAATTGATGCAAGTTGCTGCCATCAGTCTGTGCTGCAGCATAGTCCAACCCTTCCTTGCCAATCCTGCAGTTATCTGACACGGTAATTTTAGTTAATGCACTGTCAGGCACAAGCAGTACAAAACCACGCAGCTGTATTTAAGCACCTACCCACTAAAGGAACAAAAATATGCCTTCCTTGGGGCGGCCGTCATCAATAAGCTGTCGCTCCATTTGCAATTCGAAACGCATCGAAGCCACGCAGGAAAGCTGCTGTAAACCACACGCCTCGGCAGGCACCTTCGCTTCCCGGGTGGTTCCTGCTGCAGTAGGAGCGCTGCGGAGCGCGATCCACGGCGAGGTGTTGGGAGTGTGATAGCCAAGTGCTCCGCGTGTCGTTTCTTTTTCTGACTGCCAGGTTGGAGGTGCCCCCGGCAGCACCCATCCTCGGCACCGGGAGCTGGCGTGAAGGAAACAGCCGGGGCTGGCAGAGCAGAAGTGAGGAGAGCAGAAGGCATGAGAGGAGCCTCGCTGCTAGGGGCAGCCCAGCCGACCCCGGCGCTGCCCCTGCTTTACAAGCGTGGTGGGCGTGCAGGAGGAAGGAAGGTAACTGTTAAACTTGTGAGAAACCTCCGGAGGGACAGCAAAGGAAGCTGCACGGTACTGTCTGCCGGACTGGATAAGACAAGGAAGAGGGAGGCCAGCTTTCTGCATGCAGCTTGTTCTCAGAAAATCACCATAAACCCTGCAGTGCAGAAACATCTTGCCTTCTGCACTGTGAAATATCCATCCCTTTTCTCTCAGGCTCTTTTTCCTCCTCTCTGTCACCAGCATACCCCACTCCTACTCCGCAATGCAACTTGTGCCAGTGTAGACAAGGTGGCACAGGATAGGCACTACGGTCTGGTGTGGGAATAAGATACCAAAAAATGCCTACTGTGCTCTGGCCCTGCTAAGTTTTGAGTTGTTTTGTTATTTTTGTATTTATTTATTTTTTGGTCTGACTGTCCCTTGGCTGGGGTTTTGTAATAGCTTAAGGGACTTAAATGTACTTGAGATATATATAAAGACTGGATTTATAGTGGGCACATGAGCGTGCAGTCAGGGAATGAATGGCATACCTCGTTCTCCCTGAGTTCCAGTGCAGATTAGGCTGGCTATTGATCCTCATATACACTTTTAGTTATTTCGCCATAACTTTCTACATGACAGCTCATTTAGGTCTGTTTAAAAACCCAGCCTACACCTACAAATGCAGTCAGAGGCTTTTGTTTTATAGCACTCAGCCTTAACTTCCCACCGTGCCTCCAGTCCAGCAGGAAGGAGCTGTTAGTACGCTTGCTCTCGCATCCAAGACCCCCGTTAAAAGCCCCACCAAGCTGACACAAACAAGGCCAGTGGACTGTGCTGCTCAGTGACCAGACGGAGCTGCATGCCTTTCTTTTATCCCAGTTTTCCGTGGCGCCAAGCCTGAGACCAGCAAGCCAAGCCTGACTCACGGGTGGGCTGCCCCGCGAGCGAACAATGTAGATGTGCAGCGAGAGATTAGCAAACAAAAGCCTAGGAGTGTCTCCGTCCAAATTAAGTAACAGATGGACCTGGGCTGTGTGGGGGCTGATAACGGTTATAAAAAGGCCATCACCAGACTGCGGCCAGCCCACCCTGGAAAAAACCCACTCGGTTGTAAATCCTGTGCGCTGTTATAACTGCCTGCGCGAGTAAGGCTTTATTTTTACCAGCTATCATAAAACAGCACGGCTTATTTTAGATGCATGGCTTGTAGTGCTCACTTAAAGGGTTGCCAAATCTCTGATAGACACCTACAAACAGAGGAGATGTGCCTGCCTGGGCAGGGAACGGGGAGCATGATTAACCTACGGAAGGCAAATGCAGTGGTACAGAGCGGTGTTTGGTGCTCCGCGTGGTACTGCCTTGTGCTTTCCTCCTCTCCTACGTAGCTAGGTGATGGCACTCGTTTCTTCTTAAATGCCTGTAATAAGGGAGTCTCTGGCAGTCTCAGCAGGACCAGGACCCCGCAGTACAAAGCTGCGTGGAAGATGATTGAATATTTGCATTCATCTGAAGATGTGAGCATTTCAGGATTTGCTCATAATTCGCTCTTCCTGCTCACCACTAGAAGAAGGCAAGGGAATGTCTGTCTGTAAATGGAGTCGTGGAATAAAATCTTAACCTGTTTAAAGCTCTTAATTTAAACCAGCACCTTAAAGACCTGACTGTATTTGCTGCAGACAAGGCCCATTAGCATCCAAACCATGCACACAGTCCTTTTTTTCCTTCTTCTTCTTTTCTTTCTTTTTCTTTTTTTCTTCTCCCTCTTGGACAGGAGGATTTGCTGCTCTACCTCCTAATCAGACAGCAAAGCCATTGGTATACATACAGCCTACACACCCCCACTTAGTCGTGAAACAAGTTGCTAGCAAGCAGATACAGAGCCCTGTTAAGACAAAAGCCTCTCTGCAAAGCAGCTTCTTTCAGCAGACAAACATTCCTCCTCTCTTCCACACAGGGAAGGAAACATAGGTGTTGCCTGGTGAAGACTGCACGGTGCTTTCTGATGCTTTCCCAAGATCTGGTTTTGTTGTGTCGGGTTGCAGCTGCAGACACATTGCTTCACGTATCCATCTGACAAGGCCTTCTGGAGGTAGGAATTTCACAATCTTTGGTTGTGGTTTTGCTCATGGCATCACGGCATGTTTAGGGGTATTAAGGCCCAGCATATCTGCGCTCTCACCAACACGAGGCAGCCTGTTCTCGTGATGAGATCTGCACACCACCTGCTTTGCAAATCCTGAGGCCTGTGCTATCAGGAGGCATCACGAGCCGTGCTCCAGAGCTGTCTGAACAGGGAGAGCTCGTGCTTACTCAATGTCTTAGCACAAGCCTGAGCTCTTACTGGACATGTTGAGCTCAGATCCAGGTCCTCTGGCAGGTTGTCATGCCCTGTTCTTCCTAAGAGCAGAGGGATGCTTTAGGAGAGAGGCACGGCTGAACCAGCAGCTGGCGACCCAGTGAGGAAGCTCCTAGGCCGCTGGGCCTAACCTACTTACCCCATCTTGATGAAATAGCTCTTTACCCATCAGGACAGACATCATTCAAGAGACCAAGAGCCAGATTTGCAAAGGTATTTAAATGCTGTTGACATCACGAGGAAGATAGGCATTTAATACTTCATAGATGTGGCTGGACATGCCTTGCCCAACACCTTAATCTAGTCCTAGCTCTCCTGTTTTCCCCAACTCATACCCCAGTTTCTGGGAAAGGACTTTCTGGGAGAGGACAGCACATATGTGCAAGATAGGAATGAAGCAATACGTGGTTGGATACCTAAAATCTACTACCATAGAGACAGAAGTAGAAAGGGCTAGAGAGTTCAATAGAATCACAGAATATCCTGAACTGGAAGGGACCTACTCAGATCATAGAGTCCAACCCAAAGAAAAGATGGAAGAAGTCTGACTTTCCCTCTCAAAATCTGGAACAAGGAGTAATCAAGAGAGAACAGGAAGGAAATGTAAAGGAAAGCTGTGCAGAGAAGACGCTGTCATTACTCGCCCTTGCAGCCCTGAGTTGTTTCTCCCTTCCCAGGAAAGAAATGTGAGGCTGAACTGAAAGTCTCATTTTCCTTGGGTAAGCATCAGGGAGCACGGCACACAGCTCCTGCATTGCATCAGATACCACTAACCAAGGGATTAAGTCTTGCCCAGATCATTTATTTTGCCTTGCTACAGACCTCTGAGGTCAAGCCCCTTGCACAGATGCTTTGGGCTTGCAATGTTACACTGCCTCCAGAAGGAAAAAACAGGGGCAGGTGGCCTTGCCGTGTGGCTCTGAGGGAAGGCCATTAGGCAGAGGAGCTGCTAATTACGTAGGCACCAAGTTTTTGGCAAAAGCCAGAAGAGAAATAAGGCAACAAGGAAATAATTACAGATGACTTGGCTAGGAATGTATTAAAACGGTCACATTGTACTGAGCATTGTTTGTGCCATTTTCATTAACAAATGAACAGCTTAATTACATCTTCACGCTGGGCAGGCTCACAGCCAATACTTGACCATGAAAATTAGTGCATTCACTGAAAACAGGACAGGAGCAGACCTCAAAAGGTCAGCTCATCCCCACCTTGCTTTAGGACATGAAAACCCAAGGAATACAACTGGCTGGGCCCCTGGATGTGTGTGGAGACTCTTGTGCAGTGTTTCCCCGTGATCACTTTCATCTCTTACAGGGCTTTACGTTCATCAGTTAAGCTTTGGTCTCCTCAAATTCAGTGTCCCCTCCAATTCTGTAAGGACATACAGCTCCTGAAACTGAGGATTGGGAAGTTACAGAAGAGTAAGGAATGCACCACATCAGCCCGCAGTGGACAGTCACTTCTGTGACCTTACAACAGCAAAAGTAGAGGACAAAAGCGGTGAGCACTAAAGACAAGTGGGACTATTTGCACAGGGCAAATCTGAAACCAGCCCTTCCTGCCTATTCCCACTTGCCTTCCATTCTTTTCCAAGCCAGCCCCAGGAATTGCCATATTGGCACATCCTACATTATTTTTCACTTCAGCAAGTCCCTTTCCTCCTCAAAGTGGCAGATGCTGATACCAAATTAGTGCCAAGTGGGAGGGAACCAGCTGATAACTGTGATAAGAGCCAGAGGCAATGGTCTTCCTCCTGTCCTCTCCTTTCCTCCCGTCAGGCTCTCGTGGCAGCAGACAGATGTTAAAGGAAGTCTCCAGGGTACAGTCAGGCCAGTGATGCATGGCAGGGACCTGTGGACAGGCTCAGGGAGACAGAATGATCTCTAACAGGAAAGGGGCAAGTGGGACAAGCTTGTTTTTTTTTTCCCCTTGTGTGGGAATTTGACTCAAGGATTGCTGAGAATCTCATAAGCCAAAGTGACGTTTTCCAGGCTGAGTGCCAGCCGATGCACAGACTTGGTCTCAGCAGGTATTTGACTTCCACGGGAGCTGGGGTGCTCGATACCTGCCTGACCCTGCCTTTTGATGAGGACACACGTATCAAAAGCTGCCTGAAATGCAAAGACAGGAAATAAGCGGATATGCTATCAGCACCAGGCTTTGCAATGCTCTTTAGTGTCTGGCTGTGTCCCAACCATCAATACAGAGACTCACAGGGTTTTAGCCTATAATCCTCTATTCCTCTGTCTGTGACTCTAATCTCTTGATCCCTAGGTCTCCTCCAGCCTATAGCTTGACCAACAAAGCACAAATTTGAAGTTCTGCTTATCAGAGACCAACCATGTCATCTTCCTGTGGAAAATGGGAGTTGGGGAGAAGTAGCAGACGTCAGAGCCAGGAGCTGATAGCAGGCTAGGGAAGGGAACGGGAGAGGGCGTGAGCAAGCACACACACAGAAAGCATTTATGACAAGGCTGAAAACAGCTCTCCTTTTAAGAGCATTTTTTTTTCTTTCAGATTTTACAGTATCATTTTGCCTCTCTTTTTCATGTGTATAATTCTAGCCCGGGGTATAAAACAATTGTGTAGCTAACGTGTTGCACAGAACATGTACAAATGGATGCTGCCAGCAAGTGACTGTGGGCACCGAGGGAGCGCTCACAGCTGCCTAGGAGCTCGATACCCTGAGCCTGTGAAACCACTGCTGTCATTCCATGCAGGAGACGGCCGCTTCGAAGCTTTGTAACAAATCTGTCAGAACAAAGGATGCAGATTTGCAGGGGAAAACCGCTTTCAGCAGGCCACGCGCAGGCCTGAAGACGTGAGCTGGGGGAATATCCTTCCAGGGGCTGCCCTGAATCACGGGAACAGATCCGAAAGGACTTACCTCATTACCATCAGCCCGAGCACAGGCTTCAGACCTGCAGAGGGAGTTGTGCTGCAGGGTTCAACAGATTTCTTTAGGAAGCACATCGGGAATTAAAGGTAGCCCAAATGAAGTCACTGACAGACACAGATGAGACACTGGATGCAGAGGGAGCACTGCTAGGAAGACGCTGGCATAAATTAGCAGGAGAAGCAGGGGGAAATAAGGCAACGTCAGAGCAAAGAGGGAGGAGGAAAGCCCCTCTGCCCTGTCCCAACCTGGATTCCTGACCACAGCAAGCTTGGTTAGCAGAGCAGAAACGAGCCTCGGCCAGCGAGGTTCAAAGTTTCCTTGTCCTGGGGGAGTTGAGAGAGCCACATATCTGAGAACTTCTCCCAGACCCTAGCTTGTTTTTCTCCTTAAACATCTCTCGCAGCTATTTTTAGCAGAGAATTTTCTCAGCCGCCCGCTCCCAGTTGGGCCCTGGTCACAGCCCTTTTCCCAGCGCCATGGGCCCAGCAGCGGAAGGGTTGCTGCTCTGCAGGGAAGCGCCTTCCTGGCCACGAGCTGTTCCCCAGGTCAGCTGAGCCCCGTGTCACTGTGCTGCTGACTTTGGGGTTTACATGCGGAGCTGCCAGGCTTCCCCTGAGGCACACCAGGCTGGTACAGGCACACCAAATGCTCTCACAGACCCCAAAGCCAGACGCGGGGTTACAATTCTGTGTGTAATTTCAGAAGGAGCTAAAGTAGAGGGTGGACTGGACTTGATAACTGTCTGTAGGCTTTTTACGAGTATGAATGGCAAGAAAGGTGGGAAGGAGATGGGAAGAAATTATTAGGCTGACATTAATAACAGGATCTGCTTCTCAGCACCAAAATCTATCTGGATTCCTTCCAGGTCCTCCAAGGGAAACAGTGGAAGCCTTTATTGTTCATAAAAGTTGCAACTAAATTCGGACTGGATGAAGCTTAAGGAAATACCTCTTGGAGGACAACCCTGCCTTGGCTGCTGGAAGCCGATGAGGTAACTCCCTTCCTCTTCTCTGGTTCTCTTGGGGCCCTTATTCCTCCTCAGCCAAAATGCTAACCTGTCCATCAGCTCCTTGGCTCCCCAGCTTCCAGCGCAGAGCAAGCTCTCTGCCTGCTCTGGATGTCTGCCTGTGTGCAATTAGCAAAGCATCAGTTAACACAAAGGGACGGTTCACAGGGAAGCAACGACTGCAACTTCTTTCATCTGGGGCTCGATTTAATACCAGCCTGCCAGAGGCAGGCATTTCACTCAGAGATTGGGGCACGTAGGTGGGCAAATCGAGTAAAGCAGGACCGAATCCCTGCTAATGTGCAGGGGTCCCTGGGGGCCTGAATGCTCTCAGTGGTGTGGGTGAGACACGGGGCGGCTGCGTCCCAGTGCTGCAGAGCTGCAGCGGTCAGCTGCTTACAGCAGAGCCACAGTCAAGGAGGTCCCTCTAACAATGGCCCCTTCTTGGTCAGTGTATCTGTTGCCTGTGTGTCTTGGAGTCATGTCAGTGAAACGAACAGATTGGGAACATATTTGTACTCCCCACAGCAGTACAGAAGCCAACCCAGGCAGAGGAGAGCAAGCTGGGCTCTTTTCTGCTCCTCGCCTCGGCGCCAAGTTTCCAGCTCTGCTTGAAACCTGTGGCCGAGCCCTGCTTTGGCAGGGGTGAAGCGAGAGGACAGGCAGGGTCAGGAAATACTCTACTTCCAGCTCGTGCTTGCAGAAGTTGGCAGCTGGCTACAAGAAAAGGAAGCCAGGCCGAACTCAAAGAGCTACACACCTCTGAAGGCCCCCACAGGAGATTAAATCTGGCTCTCTGCACCTTTGCCCTTCTCCCTGGCTATGCTTAAACAAATGGGTCCGAGAATAGCATTCACCTGGGACAGCCCACAGATGCTGCGTGAGGGCTCATCCCTTCAAAAAAAACCCTTCAAAAAGCTTCTCCGAGCCTAGCAAGGATCCCAGGAGCCCAGGATTTCTCTGCGACCTTCATGTACACGTTCCAAAACACGGGCACTTAACCTTTGTGGCTCCCTTGAAAATCCCAGCGCCAGCGTTTTATGGATGAGTATGTTTCCCCTAACATCTGCCCCCTGTATCAGATGCTGCCAGAGCCTCTCTCTCTTCTGGCTCTGCTCCCAGCTGAAGGACAGACAATAGGCATTTGAATGCAGTCTCCACTTCCCCTCCCTAACAGCCTGGGGGAGATGGCACACTGGAGCCAAGACAGCACTGAAAGCACAGCCTGCCAGCCAGCGACAAGTCTCTCTAGATCATGGCCTGCCTCTTCTTCCCCTCCCAGTGTAGCTGAACCACTGGCTGCAGTTGTTACTGGGCAGCCAGGCCAGCTCTGCTGGGCACTAAATCCTGGCAGCATCCCACCAAGCGCACCGAGGGAGCCCTAGCACACTGCTACTACGGTCAGCTTGGTCCCCCTCCAAATGCTGCCAAAACCAGCTCACCTCTGAGTTCCCAACCTTGCTGGCCAGGGCACTGGTTAATCGACCTCTCCTGTACCTCTCTGCCATGCCAACTCACCTGGAGATGTGCTGGCTACCTCTTGGGCTTCCCCTCGCTCGCTCCCACCAGCATCTTGCTGTAATTAACTGACCCAGGCGGTGTGCCGGGCACGGAGGAGCAGCGGGTTTGACAGGGGCTCCATGAGAACTGGTTTGGATCTTCCTAAAGAGCCATTGTTCTGCCTTTCTAGAAATAGCTCTGCTTCTTGCATCCCGGAGCTGTTCAGCCTGTTTGGCACTGCTTCTGCTGCTTCAGAAACAACAACAGAGCGAGGAAAAACCTGTCTAGACACCATTTACCTTCCATCAACTCCCATTGCCACATCAAAGCACCACTTCAAACAAACCTACACACTGGCCAAGTAATAATCCCCAGCTCTCCTGTGTCTGCTCCAGCCAGAGGCAGGCAGATCCGTCCCATCGTGCTTCAGAGTTCACCTTTAATCTGAGCTCTTCTGAGAACAGGAAGAGAGAGAGGATGAAAAATCTCATTACAGGACCATCATCAGCAGTCACCTGGCCTCACGCTGCTCGAGGAGGACCCACCTGCTTTCTGCTCAGCACCCAGGTACAAGCAGAAATCTCACCTGCCTCCTATCAGCAATCTGCAAACACCCTTTGAAAAGCAACCAAGTAAAGGAAAGCAATTTTCTTTGCAAACCTTTGCTGGGGCTGGAGCAGGCAGTGATGTGCAGGGTCTCTCCCACTGCTGTGCAGCACGTGGCCTGCAGCTTGCCAGCATGCTGCATTCGCCTGAAATTGGACGAGACAGAGTGCTGTGCTGCAAAAATCCACTAAAGGGCAAGGCAGTGGCTGTGCTGCCATCAATTGTTTCAGACGCAGTTCTCTGCTTGAAAGGGGAATGGCAACGTGAGGGCTGCTCATCATCCCGAGCAGGCAGCTCCGCAGCAGTTTTAAGGGCCAGGCAGGCCCGAGGTCTGCAGCACATCAGACATGTTCTGGAGGGCCCTGCAGCCCGGCTCCGAGGACCCCTCACCTCCCCAAAGCTGCTTGCATGAATGCTGGGCAAACTTTGCCACAAGCCAGAGATCAAAGATCCTGTGCTACCCAGGGAAACTGAAGTCACCAAGAGCAGCAAGTCACCGAGTGGGACGAAGTCAGAGGAGCTCAGGTAAATGCTCAAGATGCCTTCGAACCCAAAGGGGCAACAGCATTAAAGGAGCTGGAGAGGCTTTTAGGTCACTTGAGCACAGATTACTTGAAGGCACCTTTGGGGAAGCACCTGGCACCAGCATCAAGCCCTGGCCCTGTGCAGCCTCCTCAACAGCAACATCTAGCTCATTATTATAATAAGGGTCTTTTGAAATACCTTCTGTGTGAGAGACAGCTAAGAAAATCCAGTCTGGCTTTATTCTGTCTCAGGCAGAAACAGTCTTTATTTAGCAAACTGCTGCTAACAGCTCTGTCTCATTAGGCAGTGTTTAGGGAACCAGGCTGCAATTGTTCTGAAGCCTGGTGTTGCAGAAAGCCTTGCTAATGAGGTCTAAAGGAGAGGATTCCTCCTGACAGGCCCACAATGACCTAGAAATCCTACTTAATTCCCTGTCAGTGAAAAAGTGCTGAGTAACGCCGAGGTGCAGAGGCACTGGGGGCTGATTTGGGAGGGAGGCTGCGGCCTCTGTTCACACTTTGGGCTGTGACGCAAGAGCTCTAGGGCAGAAAATTCAGCACTGCTCAGCTATGCTGCAGCTCCTCAGATGAAGCAGAGGCTTGGCTCGGTGTGGAGATCAGGGACTCGCTGTGGGAAGGTTTGTAGCCCGCTCTGTAGAAGACTTGCCACCAGGCAGAGCACACAGTGTTGGGAGTGGACATCTCTGCTTAACTGCAATAGAGGAGACAGGATTAGGTGCTTGGAAAGAGCATGGCTCTAGCTAGGGTAGCTAGGGCACCTCTGGAGGCCCTCAGTGGCAGCACCTGGATGTGGTCTCAGTGCTTGTCCCCTCCGGATCATTCTTACAAACTGTGCCAAACCCCTGCCAAGACGTGCCGCAATTAACTCAATTTTACCTATGTTCCCAGGCGTTGCGTGCCCAGCAGCTCACAAACTTCACCTGCAGTGCTACCAGCAGAGCCTGTGGTAGGTGCTACCTGGGGAGCAGCATCTCCTGCTGCTCGCTGGCCTCACGCTGGTATCCCCAGGCTCGGATGTGGGACGAGCAGCGGCCACTCCAGCAGGCTGTCCGTGTGCCCCGGAGGTGATGTTAAGCTTTTGACACATTCTGCCCCAACCACTTTTCCTTATTTCCTTGGAGGAAAATGCAGCAGGCAGGCACAAGCCAGGACCACAGACGTGCTGCTTTCAAGTGGTTTGCTTTCGACAAGCAGCGTGCGTGCCGTGGTTAGCATCCTCTGGGCTGGGTGGCCCGGAGCCAGCCGGGCCAGAAGCTGAGGTGCAGGGACCCAGCTGGAATGCGGGCTGGATGCAGCTGACCTCGAAGACCATCCCCAATAAAGACCCTCGCAGGCATGTGCGAGCCACCTGTTTCAGCCAGCAGACGAGGGACTCAACCAGGAATTCTGGAGCTGAATGCACGGTCTGTTAAAGAGGGGTCTGAAGACTCCCACCCACCATGAAGCTGTCGCTGGTGTTTGCTCCTGTACAGACTCAGAGCGCAGGAATGCATCTTTGCCCACCACGTGCAAGGCTGCTGCTCCCTCACTGCAGATGCATCCCTGTTTAAAGTACAACTCAAATCCACGTGGATGTGGAAAAAAAAAAGATGTGGAAATAAATTCACCAGCCAAAACAACATCTAGAGAATGTCTTAAAGTCGGTAATGATCCGGGGAGTCCCTCAAACCAAGCCCACCAGAAGCAGGACGCTGAAGAGACCTGGCTGCCTCTGCACCTTATCTGCTTGGGCTCTGCTGGCACAGACAGGGGATCTGCTCAGAGCCATGAGGAAAAGACATATGCTGCGAAAGGAAGGACCAGCTTTATTTTACCAGCCTGTGTTCGCACCAGAAGTGTGCTTTAAAGACTGCCTTGCAAAGCAGGAATTAAATCCAAAGGTGCCTATGCATCTTCCTCGCTGTCATCCCTTTATCAGTTATCTCCAGCCTGCTCGGAGCTAGAAGATGAAAGGATCATAACACCACTTATCTTCCCACTTAAGAACATGCTTAGCAGCTTGCTGCTAGAGAGGAGGATACTCAAGCCTTGGGAAGCAGCTGTAAATTCTGCAAATGGGCTCCCTGGCATTTCTTTGAAGGAGATATTGCTTCTCAGTGAGGGATACAGAAAGGAAACCAGGGAGGGTGGAGAAGAGGGAAGTCTTTGTAGCAAAGATAACTTTGCCTCATGTCAAGAACGTGAAGCTGAGTGACAGATGTGAGACTGAAGGCATGTGTGTCTCAGAAGTGACCGAGGATGAGCCAGGAACTGAAAGGCTCTTGGGAAGTATTTAGGCAGCCAGACTTGTCGTGTTTGTCACTAGACCACAAGAAGCTCCAAAAACACACTCTTCAAGACTGTGCAGTGCTACAGCCAAGAAGCTTAGGGATCCCCTTACATGCTGCGGGCAGAACTCGTACACACAACCAGCTCCAGCTCCAACAAACCCTCTGTGCCTCTCCCTTAAGGACAGGTAAGGGGTAAATCTGCTGCCTCACCTCCAGACCCGGCCCTTGTCTCCTCTCTTCCCAGAGCTCCTTGTTATCGTGCTGAAGCTGGGTCCGTGCCTTTGTCTATGCTTAGCAGCTGAGTCAAACCGTCGGAGCTGCCAAGCAGAGTCTGTTCCAAATATTTGTGAAGAGAGGAGGCTCGGGGAGCCCGCAGCAGAACGCCGCGATCCTCCTGGCGAGGAGAACAATCGCTCTCGTGCACCGGCCGCGGGCTGCTGGTGGGCGACGAGCACGCCTCGGGAAGGAGCTCCCAGTCCCTGCCGTGCTCATGGACCACCACAAACTGGGATCTCCAATTCCCTCTGGCCCCTGGCTAATGCCCCAGCAATCCAGCCCTGCACTCCCCAGCCCTGATTGTGGCTCAGCTGTTGGGACGGAGAACCCAAGACGCAGTTGGTAATGGGGAGAGGGGGGCACTGGAGCGCCTCAGAAGCTGTTGGCAGCCAAAATGCTGACTTCAAAGGGCTTATCTTGCCCTGTGTGGGAGAGCATGCAGCGCCTGTGGGCAAGGACAGCTGTTTGGCCAGGCCCAGCAGAGAATTTTTGAGGGCAGAAGAGAGAAGTTTGTACCTGGGTTAACCTCCCCTCCAGCACGCACGAGGCAGATTTGGCAGGCAGAGCTCCGCACTGCCCTGTTATTTATGGGGTGCTGAGAACTGGCCAAAGTAAAGGGAAAACACCAGGGATGTAAGGATGCTCTGCAGCTCGAATAGCCAGGGCTGCTTGAGGGAGGACCCAGGAGATGCAGGAGGCGATTACAAGGCGCCCTGGCTTTCATCTCCAGTTCAAAGGCAACTCCATCAGCGCTGACCGAATTGTAGCCGGCTAATAGCTGCTTGCTGGTGCATGAGAAAGGAGCTAGGCCATTACCTCCTCGCTCCCTGAGAGACCAGACCCACCCCACCACTGCATTACCTGCAATCCCAGCAGAGTAGCTGAGAGCAGAGCAGGATACGGAGCAGCACCTCCTCTGCTGCGGGAGCTCCCAGATCAATGAGGAACCTCAAGGAGCCTTCACGGCATGCGTGTCCATTCCTCCCAGCAATTTTTTTCCTTTTACCTTAGTTTTTGGTCTCTAAACACCTTGAAAGAACCAACCCACTCCTCCAAGGATGGGTGACTCCCGGGGCTGCCGCAGAGGTACGGGGCATTGCACGAGGCATTGTCCCAGCACGGAGCTGGGACTTCCTCCCCGAAGGTATGCTACTGATGCAGACAACCTCGCCCCGACGGGACGGATGTTTTCCAGGCCCTAAAAATAACTCGCTCCGAACAACATGGTGGGGATGAAGAAATGTTTATCTCCAAGCTTCTGCACAGATCGATGCAGAACAAAAAGATTAAAGCGAAGGTTTAAGCGTGCATTAAAAATAGCTGTTGATAAGATCCTTTTCGGGATAAAAGCTGTTTTGCAGAAGCAGCAAGAACTGCAGGGCTTTGCTACACCTTCCCTGCCGTTAACTGTGTAAGCTCCCGGAAATCATTCAAGAGAGTGTTAGCAGCCAAAGCGCCCCAGGAGGAAGCCCATTAGCAGGCAGCAGCCTCCTTAATGGATCCTCCGGGTACGTGGCAGAGCTGCCTTCCCCGTGGACACTCGGTGCTGTCCACTGCCGCGATTCACGAGCTGTTCGTGCAGCCCTTCTCATGCAATACTCTGGGGAATTCTCCTAAGCTTTATGGCAGCCCAGCAGCACAATGAATTCATCCTTTGGTAGCTTTCACTGAATGAGGACGCCAATTGGTACGGAGAGTTTTTTTTTCTGTACAGCACAACGCAAAAACACACTGATATGTGAACAGAAGCCATACGTGCTACTGGAATGGAGGTAAAACATTAGCATATTATTAAGGCTTTTGTCTTGCAAGGATAGCATCCTGGAAAAACAAAAATATTGTCTCCAAGTCTGATCTTGGACCAAAGAGCAAGAGCCCTGTACATCCATGTACACCTGTACATCTAGCAGAGCCTTGTACATCCATATACACCTTGTACATCTATGTCCACATAAAACCCTTGAATTCTCAGCTGTGCAGCCATCTCCACTTGAGCAGCCCTGAGCCAGCCAGCATAGAGCCACCAGGACAGATGTAACGTGCCAGGAACCTTTCTGCTGGGAGCAAAAAGCAGGATGGCCATGCAGGGCACTTCTTGGCTATATTAACAGGTAAGCTTCATTTCACCAAACTCCCTTCTATGGCAGCATTTACCAGTCTTATTTGTTACTGCTAACGAAACAAAAATTCTGACTTTCTTTAGATACGTAGAATACTATGGGCTACTTCAAAAACCGCTGAAGGACTTCAGGATAAAGCCTTGTAAGAGTTACACACCTTGAGACATATTGGGTAAGACTGTCAAAAATGACAAGTGGATTGCGTGTCTCAGGTAGAGTGAGCAGGAAATTCAGGTGCTTTCAACGGACCTGAATTTTTAGAAATATTGTACTCCCTCCCTCCAGAACAGATTCTATAACAGAGCGCCCCAAGTCGCTTCCCACCTGTAACATGCTGGCCACTACACAAAGAATTGCCCCAAAGGTTATTAAGGTGGGGATTTTCGGCCAAGGGTTGTTGAAAGCACAGCCAAGTAATGGGAACAAATCCCCTTAGACTTCAGTGGATTTCTGCAGCTCAGCAGAAAATCTTACCTAGGCCACCCAAATATATTTTTAATAGTGTGCTCAAAAATCTTGAAATCCTGCTGAACATTGTCAACTTGTAACTTTTAGCCAGATGCCAAAGATGTGGCAAGTCCCTGGCACAGTTTTAAAGTTTTACTGTCCTCAAATGAGGCAGCAGTTTCCAAATGAATTAAGAGAACTCTTAGAAACCTGCTGATCTTACATTTGTGGTGTACTAATCAGGTCCACTGACGGGGAAGGCTAGGATGTATTCTGGCTTTAACTCTGAAATCCCTGGGATTTATGACTTCAAAAAAAACCACAAAACCTAAAGCATTATCTGAACAGAATTTAATTTCATCTACTTCATTTATTACTGCACCGAAACCTTCATTTCCCCTTGTAACGGACTCTGTTAAGCCCTGTGCTCCACCCCACACGCGGGGCACGACATAACCCAATACCTTATATTATTTTTACCGACAAGTGATTCTTGCACGGCAGAACAATTCCCATTAATATTTCGAGCTTATCTCAAGTACCTGTGGGCTGTCAAGCTACAGCATGTACATAGCTGCTTTTAATTAGTTAATGTCAGCCCCGTGTTGGCTGGCCTCCCATTCGATGGCTGTCACCAGTTTGCAGGTCGGTTCATGGGGATCCTACCTCCACTGGGCTCTCAGGGGCAGGGGGAATTGCAGAGGTGATTTTTAAATTTATTTATTTTTGAAAGTTCCATTTATTACACGAGAAAGAGAAAAAAATCTTCCATATCTGCTGCATTTTCCCCACCAACAGTTTGGTGGGGAAATACTGTATCAGTATTTTTCTCTGAGCATTTTGAAGGCCTAGCTTAGGATGCTGCTCTAATAAGAACTGGGCACCAGCTCAATTATGCAGCTGTCTCACTGGCTTTGCACTTCCAAGCTGTGCTTTAGACAGCTGAACTTCATCAGGGGAGTCACACAAAGGGTTCTTACAGCATGAAACGCAGCGAGGCAATCAAAGGTAGCTACTGCTGAGTTCGAAGTGATAACACAACCTCAGCTGGCCACTCTTGTGCAGGAGGCATCTTTAATATACACCTCCCTCCACGTTTATCCCCAGGGAAAGCCTGCTTGACCTCCACTTACCCGAAATGAGAAGCAGAAGTTTGCGAGGAGCTGGGGCTATCCTAGAGGCCAATATTCAGGCGAAGTCCTCAAAGTGCTGCTGTCCTGCTCCCCACAGACAGACCCATTTGCTGGTACGTCCCTAGCAAGAATTAGCCTCTCCAGACAATGCCTCTAATCTCAAGTTAATACTGAGGGGATTAGCACTCGGAAGGGGAGTAAGGAAACACAGGCTGAGCTTTCCATCCAAAAAAAGTCAAGGTTTTTCTTATTTTTAAAAATGTTCTTCTAACTGCTGAAAACTCTCATGTGCAGTATGAGAACTGAAACCCAGCAGGTATTTCCTCTGCCCCAAGCCCAGCTATTGACTGAACCGTACCCACACAGTAATCCAACCCCTTTGGGTGGAAAATTAAGACTAAGTCCAGAACATTCATTAGTGCAATGAAATGCATTAAATGGTTCTTAGGCTATGCCCTGACTCAGCAAGGAGTGGGTTTTGTTGCATGGGACACACCCTCCACTACATGGAACTGACACTTAGTGGTTGAATTTTGGTTTTGGTCCTGTGTTTATTAAAATGTGATACTCCCTGGGGGTTCAGAGAGAGGGCAAACATCCCTTATCAATTGGAAAAACATACTCAGTTCATACTCCAGTTGATGGAGAAGCCAGATTGAGAATGTAATTATCCTAATTAATTTCATATCGTGAATTCATCTTTTTTTAATATATAAACATCAGTTTCAAAGCAGGCCACCAGCTTTTATGCATAGAGTAGCTGTTTTTTCCTGTTGAGGGACACGTTTGCAACGCGTGCTCTTGTTTTTGCCGAGAAGAACTCCTGAGGACTTAGGATCCTGAAAAATCCTTGTTGTTGCTGTGGAAATTTTCCCCTTGCTAACTCCCTCCCACCACTTTCAGGAGTTCACGAACCTTCTCCGGATCATCAGGGCTTGATGCAATCAACTGTGAAGCATTAGCTCTAAATATACAACTGGGAGGCCAGTGCTGCTTCAACACCCAGCCACTCATCGCACAGAGCGATAACGCAGCGAGCGCAAGCTGCAAGAGAAACTTAAATAATAATCCAAGAGAGCTTCAGGGGAAGCGTCAGCAAGTGGGGGGTGACGCTTTGGAGCTGGAAAAAGATGGGGGCAAACTGGCAGGAGAGCCAGCAGCAGGCCCACCCACAGCCATTATGCAGAGCAGCTTTTGTCCTTGTTTGTGGAGTTGAACGCAGCTCATTCTGCTTTATTTATTTGTTTAGGTGAGTTTTGGCCGTTCAGCGTGTGTTCCCGGTGCAAATCCTTAGTGTGCGGACAGATAACTGAAAACCAGCCCCAGCACGCACGCCAAGAGACCCAGGATACAGCTCTCAGAAGGAAAATAAACAGGTCAGTAAAAGAACTGAAGTTCATGACGAGGGCAACATCTCTGTCCGCAGCTCTTTCTCCTCACAAAAATCCCACATTTTATTTTCTGAATCTGCTTCTGCTTCAGTAACCCAGTAATTCTCTGAAATATTCAGAGCAAGAGGGAATGTGCTGGTGTCACGTTCTTTGTCAACAGCTGTAAAGTTGATGCGATCCAAGTACTCTTTGGTGGTGATGCCAGATACTGTTTGCCTGAATAGGAACACCAAGCCCTTCCTAAGAATTTTTTTGAAGAGGTTATTAAGCATCTCGTTTTGGCATGGCTCTCAGAGCTGTTTGACCTGATTTATTTATTTTATTTTTTTTTTTACTGCCTGTTGAAAAGAAAGCAATACTGCAAATACTTCCCATCAGAAAACGACAACAAGCAACTTATCATAACTGCAAGAAAGCTAACAACATTTCCACCCAGTGATTTTTGGCACTGACAGCTGACTCAGAACAGTTGTTGGTGGCTGGGACAGATGGACTTCATGTATATTTAAAAAAAAAAAAAAAAAGAAATAAAGAAAAAAAGATAAAGTACTTCTACTTTGTAGGTTTGGAAAAATCTCTTGCAAAATCAGAATTAAATCAAAGTAAGATTTGAATGCATTGAACTTTAAAAGTGAAATGTGCCTGGGACTGGTCCTATCTGCCCATCAAGGACTATAAATCATCAGCATGTTTTATTTTTATCAAGAAATACTTGAGAATTTTGGGAAGGGCTCCACGGTTCTGCCCTCAGTCCAACACGTGAAACCCTCAAACACCAGCTTGCACCAGAGCCATCGAGGCAGGACTTCACACTGATGTCAGCTCTAAGCCCTGCTTTCCATCACTGACGCCAATAACTTCCGCTGGTATAATTATGACCATGGCATTTCCCTGATGTGCAGAATCTTTAGATGCTTTTAGTGCCTAGAGCAGGGCACGCGCTGACTGCTCCATGCTTCACTGGCTTCAGTTTCATGGCAAAGTTTTAAGGCCATGATCAAGAGATGGCAATCCCTGCTCTGCAGTGCTTGCAGTCTAAGAAACACCTTAAATTTCTAAGGTGTTTTTGCAGTTTGGGATCACAGCATCTCGTTAGCCTTGTCAGCTTCCTTTTCTGCTTTTTTTTTTTTTTAACTAGTCAGTTAGCATCAAAGGCATCCTTATGGTCTCAGTCCTCTGGGACTATCCAGCACCAAGCACCAGCTTCAGCACAGGTTTAATCTTATGTACTTCTGACAGCCTCACCTTAATGTAGTGGGATGCCCCCGCTATGTAAACTCCAGTGTAGTGGAACAAGCAGCTTTATTCTCAGCCTTGGTTCTTTCTACTCCTCAGGGCTTTTGACCCCAAATTTGAAAACAGATGGAAACCATCACAGGGGGAGGCACGCCAAGGCAGCCAGAACCCACTGCGTTAAAACTGGGAGCAAGCCTGCTACTCGACTGATAGGTGTTCTCAAGCAGAGGCCTGAAACTAGTGTATTTGGCTGTATTTAGCAACTTTTCCTGTCAAAATAAATGCAGAACTATCTGTAGTTCATTTCCAGTATTGCTGCCTTTTAAGCCAGATTCAAGAGGACACTTCAGCACTGCTCACACAGAGGAGGAAGGAAATGAAGCACCTTTCCACCCTGCAGCCCGACCATAGGGAAAAGTTGTGTGAAGTCTGATATTTTTGGCATTCAAATGGAGCACCTGAATCCAAAGTTAGGACCTGGAAGAGTGTGATGCTCCAGGATCAGGTACTCATGATTCCTCCTGCTGAAACTCAGCTACAAAGCACAGCAAAGTGAGTGAAAAGCTGGAGAGCACAGCAGGACCAGCTCCTTGTCCCTCGGGGGAACTCCACCCGAGTGTCTAAGTCACTCCTTTCATTTTTTTGGGCAATACTGCCCAAATCTCACTTCATTCAAGGCCACAAAGGCTCTACAAATTGTTTGGAATTAAAGAATCATTTTGGTTTGCCCTTAGATAAGATGTTTGAAATATTCCAACACACTTCAGGCTTGAGCTGACGCAGTTATTTGTGTGTCTGTGCACACCCGTGCGCAGCCCGGTGTATTTCAGTAGCTGAACTTTCCAAATCAGTTGCTGATTGTCACCCTAACCCTGCTCCATCCCTTTTCGCCTTCTGCCGCCTGCCTGGAAGGGGGGAGGGCGACGTGAGCCCACCGGCTGCTGTCCCCCTCCTCAGCCCCCCACTATTAATAGCCAGACAACAAATGAGCCCGAATTCATTCCTGAGCGGAATTAGCAAATGTTTTTGCAATTAAAACTGCAAACATTCAAGCGGGGCCCCCGGAACAATAGGCGCCTGTGCCTGGGCTTGAATAGGGACCAGTGTCCGCCCTGCCTGCCTGCCGAGGCTGCACATTCCTGGCACCCTCAGCCCTCGACCCGCAGCCTCCTGCCCCGCGCCCGGCCCCGCTGCCTCCAGCACCGCAGCTTCTTGGGGTCGGGAATGGGAACGGGGTCAGGGCAGCGCATCCCCCTGCCCCTTTTCCCTGGGATCACAGTCAGGGTACTGGATCCCCCCTTTTTCCCAGTGATCGGGCACCACATTCCCCCTTTCTCCCCAGAATTGTGACACATTTGGGCACCGCATCCCCCTTTGTCCCAGGGATCAGGCTCAGCATCCCCCCTTCTCCCAGGGACGGGGCTCAGCATCCCCCCTTCTCCCGGGGATCAGGGCACAGCATCCCTCTTCTCCCCAGGACCGGGGCACCACATTCACCCCTTCTCCCAGGGACTGGGACACCGCATCCCCCTATTCTCTCAGGGATCGGGGCACAGCATCCCCCTTCTCCCCAGGACCAGGACACCGCATCCCCCTTTTTCCCTGGGACCGGGGCTCCGCATCCCCCACTTTTCCCCGGAATAGCGAGCGGGGCACCCCATCCCGCTTTTTCCCCGGGATCGGGACACCACCTCCCCTTTCTCCCCAGGACCAGCACACCCCATCCCCATTACCCCCGGGCACCATCCCACCACCTCCCCATCTCCCCATCCTCCCCCCGGGGACCACCGCATCCCCTTCTCCCCGTTCCGCGCTCGCTCCGGGAGCCCCGCACCCCGGCTCCCCCCGACTCCTTCCCCAATTCCGCAGCCGGGGCCGGGTCCCTCCGGGTCGGGGGTCGTTTTAGGGGATGGGGACGAGCCCCCCCGAGGTCCCGGCTGCTTTTGCCGGGGACTCACCGAGCAGCGGCAGGAGCAGGACGAGCACCGGCCGCCGCAGCGCCATGATGGGGTGTGCGGGGCCCGGCCGAGCCTGCGCAATGCCCGGGCGGCCCGAGGGGGGGGGAGAGAGAAAAAACCGGGGGGGGGACCGGGGGCGGCCCCGGGATCGGGATGGGGACGGCGGAGCCGGGATCGGTCCGCTGGGGGATGCGGGAAAGGGGCGCGCCCAGACCGGAGCCTGGCACCGCGGGGAGGGGAGGGAGGAAAAGGGGAGATCCTGGGGTGGGGGGGGACCCCAAAGGAAGGGGGGAGACCCCCAGGGGAAGAGGGAGACCCCCCCAGGGAGAGGGAGACCCCCCAGGGAGGAAGAAGTCCACCCAGGAGGGAGGGAGACCCCCAGGGAGCCCCCCCAGGAAGGGGGAGCCACCCCAGGGAGGATGGAGACCCCCAGGGAGGTGGGAGACCCCCAAGGAGGTGGGAGACCCCCAGGAGGGAAGGAGACCCCAAGGTGGGGGGAGACTCCCAGGGGGGTAGCAGGCCCCCCAGGAGGGAGGGAGACCCCCAGGAGGGAGAGGGAGATCCCCAGGGAGCGCCCCCCCTACAGGGAAGAGGGACTCCCCCAGGGAGGATGGAGACCCCCAGTTAGGAAGAAGACCCCCAAGAGGGAGGGAGACCCTCAGAGAGGAGGGAGCCCCCCGGCCAGGGGAAGGTCTGCAGGAGAAAATTGGCCCTGAGCAAGGAGCCGTGAAGGCTGGGGGGGTGTGTGTGTGAAATGAGCTTGTGGGGCAAGTTTGGGTTTTGGGTTTGGATGTATCCAAGTTTTGCTCTGGGTGGGGTTAATGAGAACTGTGGGCTGTTAATGGGCTGTGCTTAATGAGAACCCCCCTAAGAAGTGCAAGGAGTGAGAGTTTCCCCTAAAATGCTGTCTCGTGTAGGACAACGTGCTGTGCTGGATATTTTTGGCCAGTTTAAAGCCGGCAAGCAACACAAACTGCATGGGACTGCAGGAGCCAGGCGGGCTCCTGGGGCTGTGCTGAGGCTGCTCTGACCCAGCCAAGGGCCTGAGCCGTGCCCTGGGACCACTCCGAACCTCCGTGTGGTCCTCAAGGGCATCCCAGAACCTTTCTCCTTGGTTAACGAGAAGGGGAAAATTACCAGCACTGGACTTGGCCCCGAATTCAGCAGTCAGCCTGGGCTGAGGCTGGCTCACACGTCCTGGCAGTGCTGTGATGGGATGTAATCGAGATGCTGGTGATGATGCAGCTGGGGTAGATCGGCCTCAAGGTGCTGATGAGGAGACTCAAAGGGCTGATCCGAGCCTGGTGAAATTAAGAGAGATCCTCTTTAACCTCCAGCAGCCTCCTGCTTGGGGAGCAGCAGAGCTGAGGAAGAGGGACCAGGCAGGGATGCGGTGTGCGGGCTCCTCCAGCCCCTCTGCGCCCTGCGAAGGGGAGCTGGATGAGTGCAGGGCTCCTCTGAGCCTCCAAATCCCCCTCCAAGCTGCTGGAGCTTCACCTCAGCGTGCAGTGTGTGTGTTGGTGCAGAGAGGCTGGTTTAAGGCCACATGGATACGACCTTAGAGGATAAGGTCAGGGCACGAAGCCTGGAGCATCGTCTTGTTTGTAGCTCCTTGCTTGCACGGCACACGCGTGGCCATTGCCCATCTCAGGTGCATCAGAGCCAGGGCTTCTCTCCGTGCTGCCTCCACGGCTTTATCACGGCAATGTTCTGCCTTTTTCCCTGCCGTCACCACCGAGGAGCCATCGAAAACGTGAACCCAGCAAGCAAAAGGAGTCACGATAAATCTTGTACAAGAACCGTAGCGCCCGTCAGAGCAGGACGGCGAAGTGCTGCGGTGTAAGACATGGATTTTCACGCACAGATGGAGCTCCCCTTCCGTTCCTTAATGCCGAAACAAGGAACGAGAATAAAATATGTGCCGAGAGCGGCCCTGTGTAGGCACTGAGGTGCAGTCAGGCGTGACGAGGGGCTGCATAAACCTGCCTCCTATGATCCCATCATCCTCTGGCGAGCTCCCCATCCCCGCTCAGAAGAAGCAGAGGGATCTGCAGGATGCAGGGAGGGAGCACGTGTCTGCTGAGGAGCCCTCCCGAGCTCCAGCAGGGGCTTGAGATGAGGAGAAACAGAGGAGAAAGCATTGCGGGACCCAATGGCGAACCGTGGCAGAGGTGATGGGCCGTAAGGTTCAGCAGTGGGGCTGGTTCCCAGGGCGTTTTTAGGAGTCTGGAAGAAGGTGACCGAGGGCTGGACTGGGAAAGGAACCCTTTCGGGATTTATAAGGGTTGTGGGGGCACGGTGTGCCCAGTGCTGGGACCTGCAAGCGGCTAAAGGCAGCTCGGAGAAAATGGGTGTCCTTGCCGTGCTTGTAGTGCCTGGAGGCCAAACTGAGGTTTGAGCCCTGCTGGGAAGAAGGCAGAGGCACCAAGGGCTGCTAAGGAGCTGTGACACCTCGGGTAAGTGTGACTGGTGCCCGTCTGAGTCCCCAGGGCCTGCCCCTTTCACTGTCATTAGGTTCCTGCCAGAGCTTCTGCCCCCCGGGCTGCTCTGGGACATGGGAGCTCATTGTGCTGCCCTGGCAGACCTGCAGATGAGCTTGGTTCACTGCCAAAGAAAAACTTATTTATGAGCAGCAGGAGGGTCTTGGGGCCCATGGTTGCTTGCAGCCCCCCTGGGGTTTGGAAGCAAAGTCCTGGAGAGTTTCTAGCGCAGCGTCAGGCTCTGCAGGTAAGAAGATGCTGATTTATTGATGTGCATCATTTTCAATTTGAGGCCCTCAAAGCACATGGCAGATATGCCACTTACCCAACATCGTTCCCAGCAGCTCTGGCAATAAATGCAGGTGTGTGGCCTCTGCCTGTCCATGCCCTGCACTGCCTCGCTCACCAGGACAGCTCCCAGTGGCTGCTCTCATGCTGCAGCGCTCCAAGCTGAAGGCAGCATCTCTTTTTTTGGCTGCCGTAGGCTAGACAAGTTGTTGATTCCCCGGTGCCACGGACCGTGACCCCACTCCCACACCAGCCCCACCATTTCTCCCCGGTTCCTTTCTCAGGCATATGCTCGTCTATTTTGAACCGTTTGTATGTGTGAGGCTGAGGCGCTCCTAATCTCGTCTCCCTCCCAGGGCGTCAGTCGTACTGGCACGCGCCTTTTCCCCGTCTGCCTCCCTCTGTTTCTGGACTGCGGATATTTTTAACTCCACCCTCTAATTAGAGGCACTTTTCTCCGGGTATTCTGCACACGAGGGATCTCACGTCTGTGGTCAGCAGGCGGTGAGCACCGGGGACTGGCCCTGCATGGAAACTTTCCTGCTAAATAAAAGCGCTGCCCTTCACCTCCCGGCGGTGCGCCCGCGCAGAGGGCAGGACGGGGAAGGACTGCGCTCCTTGGGGCCTGTCTGCAGCAGCACGGTGGGATAACAGCTATATCGAGGAGCCAGTGGGCCCCTGGAAGGGAGGACACGGCTGAATCCTGCTCCATCAGCCCCCTCGCTGTTGCTGCTCGGAGCTCCGAGCGGTGCGGAGAGCACTCGGAGCCTGGGGCCCTGGGGATGCTCTGAGTTGAGCTCGCTTACCCTGTGCTGGTCCAGGGCTTGGAAAAAAGAGCATTACAAATCAGGCACAGCCCTGAATCAGGTTTCCCAGGTAGGAAACTTGTTCCTTGGCTTCCCAGCACCGTGCTTTAGCCGCCTGGCTCTCAGCATTGTCACATTGCCACAGCCCCGGCGCGGCGAGGCTTGGTGCGCGCGGCCCTTTTCTCTCCTGGACGCACGAGCAGCATCTGGCTGGGCCAGCAGGCAGCGAGCACCCCTCGGGCTGGCTGCATCATACCACGGCTTTCCTGTTCGCAGCCAAGTCCTCTCTCTCCTTCCCTGTCCCCCAGCACGCCCGAGCTGCGGATGATGAGGCCAGCTGGTCATTAGCACGTTACA